GGTAGAAAAACCTAAGAAAAACAGGAGAAAAGAGACCAATACACTACCCCTAAGGGTAACATAAATGTCACTCATCAATGGGCATAGAGGAAGTGGGATCCCTAACGACGGGCTACCCTCCTCACAGTGGCGATTCCACTGGGGACTTAGAGGTTACAAGATTAGCTTTTAGTTATGGTTCAAGGTTTCCATCTCAGATTGCCTATGAGTTGTAACGAAGGCTAGCTTGGATAATCTCTAGTTAGAGAGCGAGACTTGAACGCATAATTTCTTCCTTTTTCACAAAAGTAAAAGCCAAACAAGAAACATTGCATCATGCATAATCATAGCACACTTCAAAGAATGGGGATTGGCTCATTGATTAGTGTAGGGAATATTTCAAGCACCAACTTTGAGCCCCATTGTGATCATGAATTTAAGCATGGTGGCGTCCAATGGGAAGGAAGCTAGAGAAAAAAGAGTCGCCAACAAGTTTTAGGAACTTGTAAACAGTTCACGGGTGTGAAGGTTACACCCCCATTCACGATCACGGTGATCGCTAACTCCATAGTGGTTCGGAACCATGACTGGATATTCGGGGATGATGGTACGAATCCAACCTAAAAGAGATTAAACCCGCCCTAAATCGGCCTCTACTTAATTCTTATGATATTCATGTCCGCTTCCTGATCAACATACATACAACAAGTTAACCCTAAACCTGTTTAATCTACGTTGGTTGATTATTAATGCACAAATAAATCTATTATTGGCGATCACTTGAATTAAAATCATATTAACCCTAAAGCAAATTATTAATTATCTTATTAAGCGTGATTTCAAGTACAAATTCCGTTTAAACCTGCAGAAAGGGGCGTGATCAAGCAATAACAATCAATCATGAGTAATCAAGCAATGTATAACTAATTGACATAACAATCATCATCATCATAATCAATATAATCATAATCTCATCAAAACATGATTAGCAAGAACCTAGGCATGAGATACTAAACGGATTAATAAGAAATTCTAGCATGTCACTAAAAAAGATCAAAGCTTTAACCCAAACATGATACTAGAAACATGATATTAGAAATATTAGTTAACACCCTAAACATGATACTAGGAATTATAAATATACTAAGCATGAATTCTAGGAATCAAAAGAATAATTATGTAATTGAATTACTCACTTTGATGCCTCGTATCTCTTTCTATCAAAACAATACGCTCGTTAGTAACTTCAAGAAAGATTAAATCAAACCAACCAAATAAATCAAATAATAATTGAAATATAGATTTGGGACCAAACCCTAAGAACTATCAACTTTTCACGTCGAGGTCGAAGGCAACTTCAAGATTGGCTTGGAGTATTCAAAGCGCGTGAAGGAGTTATGGTGTATGATATCAAGAAGTTGTTGGGATGTAGGCTACAACTAAGAAGAAAGAGAGAGAAAGAGAGAGAGAGAGAGAGAGAGAGAGAGAGAGAGAGAGAGAGAGAGAGAGAGAGAGAGAATAAGCTTTTAGCTTAGAGAGAGAGAGGATTAGATGATTATTGTTGGTGATCAAGCTTATTGATATTTGAAAACGGGGAAAAACGACCTCTATTTATAAGGAAAAAGAGGGTCGAAGTTCAGAAAAATGAGTTAGAATTCGACTCGGAGTAAAACAGGTTTTGTCGCGGCGCGGCAGCTTTATCGCGGCGCGACAGCTTTATCGCGGCACGACATGCTTATCGCAGCGCGATGGTTCTATCGCTCAGTGATGGTTTTTGGAAGAATGAATCCGTACGGGATCCGACTTCCAATCAAATTGGGTTAATAGAATTTCCGTACGTATTCTAATTTTATCAGAATTAAAATCCTTAAAAAAAACAAGTGTTTTATCCAGTGTAAAATTCTTGTTTTATCCGGTGTAAAATTCTTAAGTCTTTATCTTTTCAAAAACTAGATAAATTAGAACCTTCTATAGGATTCTAGAAGCTCATAATAAATTCTAATTTTTTTGGGAATGAGGTTAAGGTATTTGGACCCTCCACACGGTCATTGGGTCGTAGATAAGGCTCGGTTTGGGCTCGGTTTAGTATTTTGGCCATAACTTCTTCGTTATAACTCGGATTTGGGCTTATAATATATCGTTGGAAAGCTCTTTTCAAACCCATCCAACTTCATAATTATTGGATCCAGAAAATGGACCAAAATAGACTGTTTGGACGTTTTCTTAAAGAGGACACGAAACGAATGATTTTGAAAGATACGAAATGAATTCTTTTGGGTTTTAAGACACGAAATAAATGATTTTGATTTACAAAATTTTAGGAAAGGTTAGAAATGGTCAAGGATAAAGGGAAGTTCACGAGACTCTTCAACTCTTCACCTAACTCGATAATCTAAGACGTGAAAGGTACTCATCAGTGGGTTTGGTTTTTGGGGAGACACAATTAGGTGTCTACAATTAGAGGTCGCCAACACTAGGCTTCTACCCCGAAATCAATAACAATCATCCTACCCATATAGCCAAAAAAATGTTGGGAGAACTATGTCATGGGTCAACAAGTTGAGTGATTGATGATCTGTGCATCGCTTCTTAAGATATGGTACCTTTGGACACCCAAGCCTTGACTTTAGAATGACATTATGTGCTTTGACGGTTCCTCTCGAATGCTTATGTGATTGCATGATTATATGTGATGTGTATAGGATAGCCTAACCCCTTTTAGGAAGACTCCACTTGGATTAGCTCATTCATGTCCTTTGACATGGGTGAATTAACTTGGGTAGGCTAAGGAATGTACTAGCTTGGTGCTTTAAGTAGAACCTTGTTAGTGGGATCCCTCTTCCTAAAAGTCTTCTTTTTTAGAGTCCTAGCTTAGGTTCCCAACTACGAAGTTGTCCATTTGTAGTTTTAAGTCACGTTCAAGGAATACCATGAAAAAAAATATTCAAAAATAATGATAATAAAAAAATCATTCGTAAAAAAAATATACACGAAATAGGTGGCGCGCACAACTCATTGAATTGCGCAACCACGTCCAGCGCAAGGTCAAAAGTTGCGCGCGCCAGCGGCGCGCAACCCTGAGTCTTGCTTGTGCCTTCTGCTTCGAGACCATTTTGATTCCTCGTGAACGAATGGCTCATCCAAACAATATCATTATTTGTGAATTATTGAAAGGCGATGGTATCCCTTTGAATGTAATCTTGCGTTTTTTCTTTCTTCTTCTTCTTTTTTTTTCCCCCTAAAGCAAGCGTGTCAGTTTTCTTAATTTCTCGTATTTCCTTTAGGGCTGGTTACCAAGCTTGGGAACGAAGACACCCGGGCCCTCGCATTCTACGTTTACCATCCAATAATCCATCCCTTTCAAACCATCTTCCCTTGTCAACTCATCCTAGTCCAACAATGTCAACCATCGAACAACTCCAAGAAGAGATTATTCGCAAGAGGGAAGAAAAGGCTCAAGAAGCTGAACAAAGAAGGATTAAGAAAGCTGAAAAGGCCAAAAAGAAAGAGGCCCAGGCTCTAGCTATGAAACAAAAAATGGTTGCTTTAGCCGAACGAGAAAAGATGTTGGAGAAGCTTGTTCTTTGTTCCACTATGGGGAACAAGTACTTTGACGCAGAAAAGTTTGCTCCTCCTATAGGACTAACTTTACCTGAATAGTTTGTAGCCACAGACTTACCAATGTTTAAAGTGACCAATAATCCAAAAAATCATCTAATGAGTTTTACTGGCACCATGGCTTTAAAGGGAGTCGATCCTAAGCTTTATGCTTTGATGTTCCCTTTATCTCTAGACCCAGCCGCAAGAGAGTAGTACTATGGGCTATGTTTCGGGGTTTTTTTATGTCCTGCGGGAGAGTTAAAATTCCGAGACTAGATCCGTGCGCTTGTACCTGCAAAACAACGGAAACTCCGGTTGGTGGGATCTCCGCCTCCGACGATCAAGTTAGAACGTGTTTTAGGAGTAAAAGGTGCGGAAAGTAAGGGTGATCTGGTTCCTCCGAAGAGAGGAGTGATCAGACTAGTTGTCGTGGGCAACCTTGGTAAGAGTGCAATTAATGCTAAGTAAGGTCTGGCAATTAGTATGCACGTGGGGTAATCTCTGAATGAGTTAATTCTCCCGTTTAATGGAGGGTAATTACTTGTATTTATAGCCTCGAAGTACATGCCTAATAATAGGTTAAATGGTAAACCTAGGACTGATTGGGCTTGCCTTGGGATTCGGGCCTTGTTGGACGTTTTCCAGGTTGGCAACCTATGTGCCACGTGGCGTGGCTTGGTTGGTCCATGTTGGACCTCCTGGAGCATGACACGTGGCAGTCCCTGATCAGTCCGCGTGGCTGACATGTGGCAGGTGCTGATTGGACCACGTGGCAGGGAAAAATCCCATAAACATTTGCCCCTCACAGGGGTCACGTGGCTCGTCACGTGATGCCTGTGATAGGTGTCGGCTCGTAACCAGGCAACGGCCTGTGACAGGTGTCGGCCTGTGGTAGGCTGTCTAATTTTTTCCCCTTATTTTTGAATTTAGGATGTGACCCTTCAAATTCTTGGATAACCCTATATAAGGGCATTTGACCAAAGTCTTGTTCACATTTGTGAACTTTGCAAGAGAACTCGGAACCCTGAACTTGTGCTCTGAGACTTCTGGACGACTGATAATCAACCGACTGTTTACGCTAGCTGACTATTTGTGGTGAGCGGCTGCTTAAGACTTTCATCTCCTTTCTCTGAAAACATACTTCAGGTAACCATCTGTTTTGCTCTTTCACTTTTTCATTTCTTTTCTTTTTCTTTTCAAAATAAGGTATCCCAAAAGCACCCAGCACGACCTAGGTTAGTGATTAGTCGGTCACCGGGACGGCTGAATTTAGGACTAGGAGTGCCGCTTGCCTCTTTCTGGACTAAACTTTGCCCTGTACTCCAAGTCCGACTATCTACGTGTCTGTGCAGGACACTATGGCCAGAACAAAGAGGACGACCAGATATACAAATTCAAACGGCTCTTCCTTCTACGCTCCGATGAGTGAGCTCTCGGACCGTCCGCCTGGTACCCCAAGCACTCCAAGTGATTCAGTTTTGGGAGAATCCGAGGAGGTTCAGGCGGCCACTCCTGTCCTTATTGATATGTCCGGACAAGAGCCGGTCCTTTCTAAGAAAGAGGAGTCGGCCTCTTCCGGGAGTTCAAGCGACTCTGAGTCTAGCTCATCCAGCCGGCATTCTCCAGATTCAGAAAAGAGGCATTCTCTTCTTCATGAGGCAAGAGCATCTCATGCTATTGAAAAGGGGGACGGCTGGGCAGAGCCTTCTGCTTCTCATAGGGAATTGAACACCCCTTACTATTGCCATGTCCCAAAGGGCAAGCGGAAAGCCATGGCCGAGAGACTTAGAGCATTCAGGGCCGACCATGTAATGGGGTATGGCTACATGCTCTCTGTCCCGGACCCTGAGGACACGGTAGTCTGGCCTGAAGAGTCCAGCTACCAGGACGAGTGTTTCGGCTGCTATGAGGTGGCCATTAAAGCTGGACTTAGATTCCCCCTGCATCCGGCCGTGGAACGGATCCTGGAGGGATACCAGATTGGGCTCTAGCAGCTTGCCCCAAACTCCTGTTTAACATTTTGAGGTATGTGGCCGGCTGTTAAATGTATCGGGTGGAACCAAGTTTTGAAGCATTCGCCCACATGAATTACCTTAGCCGGACCCCTAAAACAAGCGGTACCGGATGGTATCAAATTTGCAGCCACAAGGGCTATTTAATGACCAGGGGTAAGGAGAGCAAATGGAAGGATTGGAGGAACACCTTCTTCATTGTCTTCGGCCCCAACAAGGCCTTGAAAAAAAATACAATAGTTGGAACCGGGATCCACCTTACTTAGCAGGTGGCTCCGACCTGCCGCCTGTTCCTCGTGAAGCAAAAGAGGAGATCCTAGACCGAGGGCTCTTCAAGGTGGACATCAGGGCCAACCCTACTACAAGGGTCCGAGAGCTTATTCCTCATAACTGTCTACCAAAGTTCAAATGGTTGTATGATGAATACTTTTTGGCCGCCTGTTGCCTTAGTGAACGAACGGCTAGAGGTAGTCGGCCCACTACTGTTCGTGTCTTTGCATTCCTTAATTTTCCTAAATATTTTTCTAACTCTGTGATGCACTGCTTGTAGATAAAGCTATGGAGAAGATTACTGCCTCTAAGAAAGCAGTCGCTCTTCTACGCGCCGCCATTCTTGGCCAGAAGCGGCCTTCCTCTGACTTGCCTTCAAAGGAGGCGTCCAAGGTGAGCTTTTGATATCCTTTTTTTTTTTTTACTTGGTTGTTTGTTGCAGGGAGTACGCCTGGTTCTTCCAGGAAGCAACCTGCTGATAAGCAGGTACGAACCCCCCAAAGTGGGGCAAAGCAAACAAACGTCCATATGGACAATCGACCTCCAAGAGGTATTGAACTCGTTTTCTTTCAACTTCAAGTTTCCTCAAATCAAGCTACCTGTCGCCCCTCATTCTCATCTGCCATTTTAATTGTCTTTGTTATTGCAGGCGCCCCCTACGAGCCGGACCTGGTTCAAATGGCCAAGTCCATGCTCAAGGCCATTCCCCTTGAGGAGAGGGAATCTGTCAGGGGAGTCGACACCCTTGACCTAGAGTCAATCCTGGCTCTTCTTTCTGAGGTAAACTTGATTTAATATTTCGTTTTGTAGGATAAGTGGCGTTCCTTGCCGCCTGTTTTTAAGATCACTTCTGACGCCTGTTTTTGTGTCTTGCAGGCCATGCTCCGAGTGTATGGTCTCCGCAAACCCATCCATGAAAAGACCAATAAGGTAAAAGTTATGAAGGCCATGGCCGCATCTGATTGTGACAAGGAAATGTTCTAGATTGCCCAAAATGAAATATTGACCACCGACATTCTGTATTATCAGGCGTCTGCCACCTTGTAGGTCAAGAATCATTTAGAGGCGGCCAAGAAGAAGAACCTGGAGTTGGAGAAGGCTGTGAAGGACCTCCAAGCCCAATTGCAGCCGCTGAAGCATGCAAACCATGCGGCCAAAGAACTGCGCAAATTGAACAAGAAGCTCAAAGAGCACCTGGCGAACCAGGAGGCGGCCCTGACCAAGCAACTCAGCGCTAAGGCTGAGTCCGAGAAGATAGCCCTAGTCCAGGATATGATGGAGGACTCTGCTGCCATTATGAAGATGACTTGGACAACCCTCTTCCCAGACTCAGACTATGAGCAATGGGAGTCCAAATTCGCCGCCTGCACTGGTGAATATAATATCAAAATTATGCAGCAGGCGGTCGATGAGGAGGAAGAGAAGGCGGAGGATGAGGAGAAGGCGGAGGATAAGGAGGCCGACTCCACTTCTGGGGATGAGGACCAGGGAGAAGGCGACGAAAAGGAGGCGGACGCCAATCAAGAGCAGGCGCCTGCTAATGAGCCACAACAAGGGAGTGTGCCAGAGGAGCAAGCGCCCAATGTTGAAGCCGATCAGGCGGCCGCTGTTAATGAAACCCCTCTCTCCAATGTTTAAGCTGTTTTTTTTTCAACTCTTCTCCGGCTTGTGTGCCGTTTGTTCTTGTATGTTTTTACCCGACCAAGGGGTCGGGGTCTATGAATATTTTGCCGCTCTTCTTGGCCGGCTGTTTATAAATGAATGTGAGCACTGTTCTGTCGTCTTGTCCATCAATCTTTATTTTGCTATTTAAGATTGCCAAATTTTTTTTCCAAGTATAGAATGTCTTCAATAGCCGTTTGTTTACCATACCGACTGTTCTTGCTAGCGTTCTTCCTTTTTTCTTCAAATTTTGCCATTTGTATGTTGCTAAGTATAGAAGACATCTTAGTGGGTGTCGCAACCGACTGTTATTGTTTCCCCTGACCGACTGATTGTTTCTTTATCACTCAGTCGGTCATGAGTTCAGTCAGTCTACTTTTGAAAACTTGGGATAGCAGACTTTCCAGACTTGGTGTATTTTTCAGGAAAATTATCCAGGCCGCTTGTTGGTTGCGCTTTGGCATAGGCGGTTATCTTGGGGGTTTTAAGCAATGGTCGTAGTAGGCGTAGTTGAGGAGCTAAGTGCCTAGATCTTAGCAGGATTCCTCAAGATTTAGTTCTAGTTGCACAATGGTAGTCAGCGTTTGATTTTAGCCATTGTGGGTAGCCGCCTAGTTTCAAAATTAGCCGGCTATCAGTGTTAGAAAAGTAGGAACAATCCTCTGCGATAGTCGGCCTTGTGGTGCCACCTAGGTGGTTGGACGCTAGGTTAGTTTAACTATTTACCAAGTTTGAAGGAAACAGGCCGTCTGTATAGATTCCAAAGAACGACGGGACGCCTGTTTTGATGGGATCCGCTTGCATCTGCTACAGACGTAACCATATTAGGTCTAGATGGAATAGTAGTGGACGGCTGCCTGTTTTCAAGAAAAGGCGGTCCTTTCATACTTTTGGTTCCATTTTAGGGAGGGCGACTGGTCATCTATTCACCACTTCTTTAGTTTGAGTAGTAGGCGAGTCAAGCAACGGAGGCCGCTTGACTTCCTTTATTCGCCAAGTTTTGCTTGGCTATTAACCAAAATTATGCCAAAATGTTTCGGCAGTTTACAGGGCGTTCACGTTTGGTGGAGACAGGCCGCCTGTTCATGTGGACGAGGCGTCTGGTCTGTACTGCGCCTATATTAGGGGACCTAGTTGAAATAGTTGTCAAGTACCCTTGTTTGCCAAAAAACAAATGTTCTTGTACCTTTTAGGTTGCAAACTAGACTGGGTGACTATGAGTCTCCCTCGGGACTACTCAGTCTCCACCACTGATTTGAGTAGTAGAGGTACCAGGCGGCGTAGACCGGCTGGCCCCCTTGATTCGCCAAGTTTTGCTTGGCTATTAACTCAAAAGGTATCGTCTGCATTTATCCCAAGTAATGGCAGGCGGTCATCCGACTCAAATGTGAACTGACTACCACTGGTTCAGTTAGTAGTAGAGTTATCTTTGTCTCAAGTGTAAACGGCTACGGGGTTGTCCTTGGGGACAGTCGTTTGGGTTCGTTTGTTTATGGTTTATAGAGCATAATTCCACCCAAAAGGGAGCTTCTCTCTGCGATGAATCTCATCCGGAGGGATGTCGCCGGAAGCCTGCTATGATGTTAGGACAGGTCGTATTAATTTAATTTTAAGTTAGGATCAGTCGGCCTGGCGCCTGGGCTGATCATCCGTCCATTGGCCTAGTTTAGTTCATGGTGAACGTTAGTGCTTAGTTACCTTACTTGAGTAAGGGGAAGGTAGCCGTCTGTTTGGGCACATGAACGACCATCTTCCTTGGAGAGTAGCCGTCTGTTTTGGGTTCAGACGACCCTCTTCTATGGAGAGTAGCTGACTGTATGTTCAGATGGCATGCCCCTCTAATGATAAGAGTATACACATTGGAGAGTAGCCGATTGCAAATGTACAGGCGGCATGCCCCTCTGGTGATAAAGAGTAAAATACACATTGGAGAGTAGCCGATTGCAAATGTACAAGTGGCATGCCCCTCTGATGAAAGTACAAAGTATTGAAATAATTACAAGTTTTATTAATAACTCTTGTTCAATCACATTATTCAGAAGTAATACTTCTTCAAATTATCTACATTCCATGTTCTAGGTAGAGGCCGGTCGTCTGGTGTTTCCAGGCGATAGGTGCCGTCTCTAACCTCTTCATAGATCTGGTAGGGTCCCTCCCAGTTGGGAGTTAGCTTTCCCAATTCATTAGCCCTACCGACTGCTTCCATTTATCGTAGTACAAAGTCCCCCACTTTCAGTGGGCGCCTCTGTACTCTCTTGTTATAAGTTCTTGTCATTCTCAGACGGTAGATCTCATGGCTTAGGGCTGCGTTGCCCCTATGCTCGGGAAGTGAGTCCAATGCTAAGCGCATGGATTCCCAATTGGCCTCTCGTCATACAGCATGACATGAAGAGTCGGCTCATAATGCTCAATGGGTAGAACAGCTTCTGCCCCATACGCCAGGAGGAATGGAGTTTCTCCAATTGCCCGTTTGCAATCTTCCTTATGGCCCAGAGAACATGTTGTAGTTCGTCTGCCCATAAGCCGTCTGCTTTTTCAATCTTTTTCTTGATACCATCAGAGATAATCTTGTTGAATGCTTCTACCTGGCCGTTTGCTTGGGGTCGACCAACTAACGCAAAGTTGTATGAAATTCCTTGATCCCCCAGCCAATTCTTAAGAACAGGCGTCTCGAACTGAGGGCCATTATCAAAAATCATAGACATAGGCACCCCAAACCGTGTAATGACGTTCCTCCAGATGACAGAGATAACGTCCTTGGTCTTGATGCCTTTGACAGCCTCGGCCTCTACCCATTTGGTAAAGTAGTCGACCGCTACCAAGATATATCTCTATTTGCCTGTTGGAGGTGTATACAGACCAAGGACGTCCATGCCCTACTTGGAAAATGGTAGGGGGCTATGTATGGTCGTTAGATCAGTGGCCGGACGATGGATTAGCTTGCCAAACCTTTGACACTTGTCACATTTTTTCACTATTTCCATGGCGTCTGCTTCTAGGGTAGGCCAGAAGTAACCCTGCCGCCTGGCTCTTTGAGCCAGGAACCTGCCGCCTATATGAGAGGCACAGAATCCCGAGTGCAAGTCTTCTAAGACTTCCCGCCCCTTTTCTGGGGTGACGCATTTGAAGAGAGGTTGAAGATAGCCTTTTTTAAAGAGTTCCCCTTTATGCATTTCAAAGTTGGACGCCCGTTTTTTCAGTAGGACCGCCTCTGAGTGAGCATCCGGCAGGGTGCCGTCTGTTAGGTATGCCCGGATGTCATCCATCCAGGTTGAGCTTCTGCCTAGGATCCTAATAGTATCCTCCTCGATGCTTATTTTATCCATCACTTCCCAGAAAACCGTCCTAGGTTCGTCACAGGAGGCTGATGATGCCAGTTTAGAGAGGGCGTCCGCCTGGTTATTCTCAGACCTGGGCACTTGATTTAGATGAAACTCTTCAAATGTCCCGATCTCCTGCTTTACCGCCTGCAGATACTTAATCATGGCCGGATGTGTGGCCTCACAGTCACCATGGTATTGGCTTACGATCAGTTGCGAGTCAGAACAGGTGGCTATCTTCCTTGCCCCGGCCGCCTTACGCATGCGGATGCCAGCCAGTAGGGCTTCATATTCCGCCTCATTGTTTAAGGCTTGGAACTTAAACCGTAGTGCATACTCGTACCTGTCCCCCTCAGGAGACTGACATATGACGCCTGCACCACAACCGTTCATTGTGGAGCTCCCGTCCAGATAGACTTTCCAGACTTGCTCAAAGTTCTCAGGATCAGTCGGTCTGGTTAATTCCACTATGAAGTCAAATAATGCTTGCCCCTTCACTGCTTTCCTTGGCTCAAAAGTGACCTCTAGACTTTGGATCTCGATGGCCCATTTGATCATTCGGCCTGATGACTCCATGGTTGTCAGTGGCCACTTGATTGGCTGGTCGTTGTAGACCACAACCGAATGTGCCAGAAAGTAAGGCTTCAATTTTTTAACTGCCATGAAGAGAGCAAGGCTAAATTTCTCAACCATAGGGTATCGTAACTCGGCGTTTTTCAGGACATGACTGATGAAGTAGACTAGGAGCTGGCAGCCGTCCCTTTCAGCAAGGAGGACGGCGCTAAGAGCATGGTCTGAGACCGGTAAATACATGTATAGCACTTCCTTGGGCAGAGGGCTGACCAGCCTTAGCAAGGAGTGCAAATGTTGTTTCAATCTCTGGAAGGCCGCCTCTGCATCCGGCCCCCTATCAAACATGGTCTTCTTCTTGATAGCTTGGAAAAAGTAGAGACACTTGTCGCCCGACCGGCTGAGGAATCTCCCCAATGCCGCCAGGCAACCCGTAAGCTTTTGAACTTCTCGGACAGTGCGGGGAGACTGCATATCTATGACCGCTCGTACCTTCTCAGGGTTATCCTCTATCCCCCTTCGATTGATTAGATCCGAGGGACTTCCTAGACTCAACACCAAAAACACATTTCTTGGGATTGAGCATGACCTGGTGCCGCCTAAGTGTGGTGAATGTTTCTCGGAGGTCAGCTAGGTGGTCCGTCTGGAGTTTAGATTTAACAATCATATAATCTATGTACGCCTCCACATTCCTTCCAATCTGATTGAAGAAGACCGTATTTATCATTCTTTGGAAGGTTGCAGGCGCATACTTTAGTCCAAACGGCATGACAGTATAGCAAAACAACCCCTGATCTGTGATGAAGATCGTCTTCTCTTGATCTTTCTTCCACAGGGGTATCTGATGGAAGCCTGAGTAAGCGTCCATGAAGCTCATCAAGGCATGGCCGGCTGTAAAGTCGACCAGATTGTCGATCTTTGGGAGCGGGTAACTGTCCTTGGGAAATGCCTTGTTCAAATCTGTGTAATCTACACACATGCGCCAGGTCCCATTCGACTTTTTTACAAGTACAACATTCGCAACCCAGTCTAGGAAGTAACACTGTCGAATGAATCCTACGTCTAGCATTTTCTTAACCTCGGCGG